CCCGCCTCGGCATCCCAGAGTGCTAGGATTACAGGCGTGAGCCACCGCACCCAGCCTCTGCAGTGTTATTGAATAGCAATTTGTTCAAAGATGGAAATGTTCTATATCTGTGTTGTACAATATGATATCCAAAAGTCACATGTGGGTATTGAGCAGTTGAAAAGTGGCCAGTATGACTGAGCAAATAATATTTAATTTAATCTAATTTTATTCATTTTAACTAACTTAAAGTTTAAAAAGTCACCTGTCCAGTGTTAACTAATTGTACAGTGCAAATCTAGTGTCTTCCCTTTAGAAGCAAATATTTAAAGATAGGTAGATAGAGATATGAATGTATATAATATAGAGACATCATAAATACTTTCAGAAAAATAAGTAATCATCTACATGGCTATTTCTAAATATATGAAGTGATAGAAATGCTTATAAAATAATCCATATATTTTACATATCTGAAAATACTTTACAATTTAAAGAAATAGCTACAGATCAATAAAGGTTTCTTTTAATTATTTTAAAGACTTTCATAAGTGGGAAACCAGACAATATCTGACCTACAAGTCTTCATATAAAGCTACAGTGTTCAAGAAAGTGCATATTCGCAAAAGAATAAGCACATTGGAACAGAACAGAGAGCCCAGAAATAGAACCACATAAATACGATCAAGTGAACTTTGACAAAGGAAAAAAGGCAATACAATGGAGAAAAAAGTCTCAACAAATAGTGCTCAAATAACTATACATCCACATGCAAAAAACTGAATCTAGACACAGACTTCACACCATTCATAAAAATTAACTCAAAATGGATTATGGACTCAAATATAAAATGCAAAACTATAAAACTCGTACAACGTAACATAGGAAAAAATCCATGTGACCTTGATTTTGGTGATGACTTTTTAGGCATAATACCAAAGGAATGATCCATGAAACAACTGATAAGTTGAACATCATTAAAACTAAAAAATTCTGCTCTGTCAGAGATGCCATCTAGCGAATGGAAAAAAAAGCCACAGACTGGGAGAAAATATTTGTAAAAGACATATTTGATAAATAACTCTTATCCAAAATATACAAAGAACTCTTAAAACTCAACAATAAGAAAACAAATGACCCAATTAAAAAATGGGCAAAAAAACCTCAAAGACCACCTCACCAAAGAAGATAAACAGATGGCAAATAAACAAATGAGAATGTTTCACATCATATGTCATCAGGGAATTGAAAATTAAAACAACAATGACGTAACGTTTGCACACCAAAATACAGAACACTATGACAACATCAAATTCTGGAAAGGATGTGGAGCAACAGAAACTCTCATTCATTGCTGGTGGCAACAAAAAAATGGTATAACCACTTTGGAAGACAGTTTAGGGTTTCATACAAAACCATATGTATTACCATACAATCTAGCAATCGTGTTCTTTGGTACTTACCCACAAGAGTTGAAAACTTATGTTCACACAAAAACCTGCACACAAATACTTATAGCGTCTTTATTCATAATTGTGGAGACTTGGAAACAATGAAGATGTCCTTCAGTGTGGATAAATAAACTGAAGTACTTATAGACAATGGAATTTTATTCAGTGCTATAAAAATGAGCTATCAAGCCATAAAATACATGGGGAAAGCCTAAATGCATATTACTAAGTGAAAGAAGCTAATCTGAAAGGCAACATACTATAGGATTCCATCTATGTGACATTCTGGAAAAGTCAAATCTATGGGAAGAGTAAAACATTCAGTGGTTGTCAGGGGTTAGGGGGGAAGGAGGGATGAATAGGCAGAGCACAGATTTTAGTGCAGTGAAATTATTCAGTATGATATCATAAGGGTAGATACATGTCATTATAAATTTGTTCAAACTCACAGAATGTGCCAAACCAAGAATGAACACTAATGTAAAAACTATGAACTCTGGGTAATAATGATATGTCAAAGTAGGTTCATATACTGTAACAAAGGTACCGCTCTGGTGAGGCATGTTGCTAATGGGGCAGGCTATGTATGTGTGGAGGCAGGGGTTATATGGAAAATTTCTGTACCTTCTGGTCAATTTTGCTGTGAACTTAACATTACTCTAATAAATAATATGTATTAAAATATCAAAAAACGTTTCATGAATTAGGATTATTGGATTCCATATAAAGAGTATAAAATGCTAAAAGTTCCAATCATCAATAAAATAGACTTCAGTCTGGAATAGCTCTAATACATAAAATACTAATTAAAAGTGAGAATAAATGAAGAGTGAAATGAAAACACTAAATGTTATAATCTTGCTTTCTTTTATTTTTAAATAACTGTAGCCTAGCTGTAAAATATACATTTTACATTGTGCTGTGAAGGGCAGCAAATGAAAACACGGTTTCATCTCATCAGTCAAGAAACTCTGAAGGTGACAGAAGGTTCTAATCTGCTGGCTGACCTGAAAAGGCCGTGAGAATAATGTGGCCTATTAAAGGTAAGATCCCAGAAGAAGTTCCAAAATTCACATTTTCTCAACTCCTCAAGTTTTGTGTTCTAAATTTTCTGTCCTTAGCTGCTTATGGTGTACTTGTTTTCCAATACTTAAATTTCTTGTCATTTAAAAAATAAATGTTACCTGTAAAGCACTCTGAGCACTTTAGAAGAGAAAAAATAAGCACATTTAAGTAAACATAATAGCTATGGAGAAAGGAAGATTTGAGATGCCCGAATTTGAACTACATTAGGAAAAAAATAAGAGAGTAAAGAAAATTAAAAAAAAAAAGAAAAAAGTACTTATGCCACAAGACAATACAAAAAAAGAACAATGACAGCAAACTAAGTAAACCGGTTTTCTCTGACTTAAAGTTTAAGAGTTATCGTCTCCTATCAGAGTGGTTTATATTTTATCTGAATTGAGTTTTTGCTTTTTATTTTCTACATGATATAATGTAAAAAGTAAAATCGTAACACCATCTGGTCTTCATAAATAATGAAAATAAATTATCAATGGCCTTCTAATTTCATGATCATTATCTCTTTATTCTAAGCTTAATAGAATAATCGATATTTTATTTTGTTAACCAACTTCTTCCATTTATTCTAATATAAATAATAATAATAATCACCACAACAACAGAACAACAATCTATAACATAGGCACTATTACTCTCCCATTTTGACAGAGAAGTGAGGCACAGAGAGGTTTGTGGAAAATTTGAAAACATTGGCATGACTACATTAAAAATGAACTTTCTTACACTGTCTAACAAATTACAATTTATGCACATTATTTCACATATATTCATAGTTACTGTGATATGGAATCAGCATTATTTTATTCCATTTTATGCAAGACAAAATTTAGCATCAATAAAATTAAATCATATATCAAAGTTCATAAAATTAGAAAGTTTTAGGTTCAATATTAGAACCCTGCTCTACTATTTACAATTTGTGCTCTCTTTCAGACATACTCTGCTGCTTCAAGGGTTATTGCAATGGACATTAACCAAATAGACTTGAGCATATAAGAATATAACAGCAAAGGTGAGCTTTTGGTTTGGATGTAGTCAGGAATATTCAAGATATTTAACCATTAATTCAGTATGGGAACCAAGCTATCAGAAGGAATGCCTGTTCACTCACAAAGGACACTGACAGGCTATAGGCTGATTATCAGCTCTATACAGCTCAAGCAAACTGAATAACTAGTGCATATACAGAGACATAGACCCTAGAAAGAAGCAGTTAATGGCCTCTGCATACTTGTCAATGTTCAGATGATATCTGGGTTTTATTAAGTCACCTCACTGTAAAGAGGAGTATTGGAAAATGAAGAGGATTATGGGCACACATGTGCCATGAAGAGTGAGAACAAGACAATGAAAAGTCCAAAAAACATTTCATTGCAGATACAGCTGTACATGGTTGATTAAAAATAATAAAATGTAGGGTAGCAAGGAAATGTTAAAGAAGGTAATGTAAAGTTTAGGAGCACTTTTTGCTCAGTTGGTTTGATTTCTGTCTTTACTGTTTACTAGCTGTTTGACCTTATTAAAGTGATTCCAACCTTTCTGAGCCTCAGTTTTTTTTAAAGCAAAATAACAATAAAGATACCTACCATCCAGGGCTTCTGAGGGGATTAAAGGAAGTTTGTCATTAATTTATTTCCCAAAGTGAGATAATTTTTTATAGTAAAATGGGAAACTAGGAGTAATTAAGCTGGTAAAAATGGCATGACAGAAAATGAGAGTATATCAGACAAACTGGAATATGTGCTCATTCTAGTTTAAGGTGATCTCAATAATCTTAAAAAGTTTAGTAATTTCTCATCCACCTCCCTGCTTTGACCGCTACTGAATCTATGCATGTAACAAAATTGCACGTGTTTCCCATAAGTTTATATAAATAAGAAAAAAAAAGATTTAGGAAAAAAAATTACACAAGAGCTAATTAGAATACCTTGCTCATGGAAATGTGTGAGAAATACCCAAATAACCACATATAAAAAGTGCTAATGAAGTTGAGTAAGCAAACATCACCAAAAGTCCCCATTTCTCCTGGGATCTAGCCACCCATGTATTTGTCCTAAAATGAAATATATGAACTTCTGTTTTAAAACAGATCAAATCAGGGTTTCCATCTTCCATTTTCTCACAGAAAAATGCATAAAATGCACAAAAAAGCAATAACCAAAACCAAAGTCTGAAGAGAAATATGTTGCTGGAAAAGGGAGGAATATTCCTTAGTTTAAGGGATTGTGGGCTACCAAGGAGGAACATTGGCCTTCCATGGGTCTATTTTGCAAAGTAAAAACTGGTTCAAAACAAAATAAAACAAAAACAAAAATCTGTCCCTCACACCTATTCCCTTACACAGTCCCATCAAAACTACTGTTATCAATGTCACACTGGCCTCCAGGCTACTACATTCAAAGGTGATTCTCAGTCCTCAGCTTACCTATTACCATAATTTGAATCAAAGAATTTCTTTTTCTTCTTAGAATTATTTATTTAATTTGGCTTCCTGGACTACTTGCACACAATTATTCTCTGACCTCAGGGGCCACCCTTACTCAATCTCCTTTGTATGTTCCTTATCATCTCCCTGAGCTCTAACTTTGGAGTACCTTAGGGCTCAATCTGTAGTTCCCTTTGTTCGGGCCAAAAACTTATAGTCTTTCTTGACTCCTCTTTTTCTCAAGCCCATACCTTCAGTCCATCAGTAAATCCTGTTGAATTTAACCTCAAAACACATCCAGAAAGTGATGTTACCACTGTGCTCCTGCTACCGCATTAGACAAAGTACCTCATCATCTCTGGGTGGGGTATGGGTGTTTCATAACAGGCTACTAAATGGTCTTTATACTTTAACCTTTGTTCTTTGATTATATATTTTCAACACAGCAGGCAGAAGAAGCTACTCACACCAGCAGGCAGTTCTAGTACCAAGTCTGTGTCTCTAGTACTAAGTAAAATCTCAAGTCCTTATCATGCCCCCATCTGATATTAACTTCCTTAACCTCTCTGAATTTCTCTCCAGCAATTAAGCACCTTGATTATTCTGCTGTATCCACACTCTTTGTTGTTCCCTAAAACTATAGGCATGCTCCTGCTACAGGGCTGTGCATTTACTTTTCCCCATGCCTGAAATGGTCTTACTTTGTAAATTCTTCACTGTCTCACTGATCTTTCCTCAAATACTACTCTTTTTAGCTAGGCTTTTAATGTCACTCCATCTACACACACACAAACATACAGACACACAGACAAACACACACACTATTCCTAGCTATACATAAAGTGGTCACAGAACCAACCCATTGGGAAAGATGCTGCAAGCTCAGTAAAGGAAGGTT